CATGCTGTGGCCAAGCTTTATTTCAGGGAGATGGAGAGCTAGTCAGACCTGGAGGTTTTTTATGGTAATAGTTTAATGACTTTAATATTCTTTATTTGCAAAACTGAGAAGGGCACGCCTGCAAAAAAAAAAAAAAAAAGATCTGGAGCATAAAAGGTTTAAAAGTTTGAATATGAGGAAGAAATTCCAGTCTGACCTGCTGGAAAAAACAGAAGAGGCTCTTAAGGACTTAATGTTAAAGTTTTAAAGCTGTAAACACATTTAGATTTTGTAAAAAAGTAATTTAAACCTGAGTGATTTTAACACATCAATAGTTTAAAAAGATTTTATGTTTACCATCTGCTTCAAAAAGGCAGAAATATCACAGGTGGAACAGAGGAACTTCTGTAGCACCAGGATTATTGTATTTATCTTAACAGGGGGGGGGCTGGTGCTAAGAGACGGGGGGACTTGTAATGCACATTGTGTAACCTGTTGTGTAAGAAATGTGCTGCAGTCTGTGGGAAGCTAGCCCCCCCCCAGCATTGATCGCTCCTTCTTAGTTTTATTAAACATCAGCCTATCATTATTATTTTATTGTAATCTGTGCACAGCTTTAGTTACTTCCTTTATAATTCTGTTTGCTTCATTGTAATCTGATTACATCATAAATAAGGCAGAAGAAGCTGCTGATTCACACATTACTGGAATGACCTACAATAACCTTTGACCTATTTAGATTCCCTGCATTAAACCAGCAGCACTTCCAGCCTCTGATTGTTTCTGCTCCTTAATATTCCCATAGGCTCAGCTGCAGCATCTCTGCCCCATGGTGCACAGGCAGCCAGGGCTGCTCTGCTCCCATTGGTCAGGAGGCCTCGAAAGATCCGCTCGAAGTTCATTAGGCAAGAAGAGCGTTGGAGGGGGGTGAGAGGGGAGCGGGGACTGGCAGCTTGTTAGGCTTTTATCAACGCCTTCATGCTTTTATAAGGCAGCTGGACAGATCCGGAGGGGAAGGCTCTGCTGATGTGACAGAAGGTGGAGAAGAGCCGTTAGGATCTGGATGCTGTAAGTTATATTTGTTTATAATTCACCGTTTTCTGGGAAACAGACATGATCAGCTGGTGATTCAGGTCTGAGCTGCAGCAGAACAATGCAATGATCACTTCTCCACAGCATATGCTGAAATAATCAACTAATAGATATGAAAGGACCAATGCCTGACTGGTTTATGTGTTTCTAAATGTTGATGTGAGGACAGACTGGTCCTCTGAACAGGTGAATCCAGGCAGACTGGTCCTCTGAACAGGTGAATCCAGGCAGCAGCAGCAGGGAGGATGGGAGGAGGAGGACAGCAGACTGAGCCTGCAGAGCCAGGCAGCGGGAAGGCTGCAGGTGTTTACACCTGGGAGGAGGTGCAGAAGCACCGCAGCAGGAACGACCAGTGGCTGGTGGTTAACAGGAAGGTTTATAACATCAGCCAGTGGGCCAGAAGGCATCCAGGAGGCTCTCGGGTCATCGGCCACTATGCAGGAGAGGATGCTACGGTAAATACCCTCACTGCAGCACTGCTTGTGTTTAAAATCAGCTGCAGATGCATCATTTCACACAATCTGTTCTCCTTCCTGCATTCTACTGGAGGACACATTATGGGATCTATAACTATAGATGTGTTATCCAACTGATATCTGGAATCTATATGTTTTCATTATTCTGTTAGTAAAAGACTCTGAGGCATGAAGACTTTTTGATTTGATGCATTTTTGAAATTTCCACACCAACCTTTTATCATCGTCACGCATTTTTTCTTCTGAATCACTTTAAAAACTGAAGAGGGAAAATATTAAAACACAGAATCAACCTTTGCTTTGGTCATTTTTACTGCATATTTACCTTTCAGCTCTGCTAATGGTATTTCTGGCATTTTGTTGAGTATCTATAAAAAGTCCATCATAAAAATGTAATGTTCACAGTAATAAAGCTTGAATGATTCTTTTTATTTAATTAGGGAGATATTTGTTAATCTTTGAGATTGCTGAATGAAGCTGTGACCTTTGAACAGATTCACTACGTGTAACTGAGCATGATCTGTGATAAACACATTACTTAATGCTTCTAAATGCACGTATCTATGTTGCCGTATGTCATCTTGACTTGTTTGAGTGTTTTAATTTGTTCATGTCTACGACGTTAGATTAAATTATACAAATAGAATTACTATTTATTCTTAGTAAAATTCTTATTTGACATGGAAAAAGTGGATTTTTCAGCAGGCGGATTATTAATGACCTTGTTTTATGTTGGGTTGATACTGGATGTATCTGACTGAGGAAATCTGCATTTTATCAACTTCATCTGATTTAATTATTTCTTTAACTTCATTACTAGCAATGAATTTAAAAAAGTTCTTCTTTTTAAGTAATGATTTATGGTACAATTTTGCAATGTTCCTTTATTTTAGTATCTTATTTTACTTTTCTTTAATGCCAGTTAAAGTGTTTTAGTCCTTGGAAATGAGAGATGGGAATTATTAAAAGTTATTTTAATAATAGCCATTTTATTTGGCTTTTATTCCATTTTTTTTTTACCTTAGCTGCCTTTTTACGACTTACTGTGAAGGACAGAAAGACGCACCGAATGTTTGCATAAACCTTTACTGGAAGAGAAAGCTGTTTTCAAATCTAAAAAGAAAAAGTTATTTCTTTTACTTTAAATAAATGGAGACAAAGCTGGTTTTAGAAATTCCTGATTTGTTAGTCAGGAGGCAACAATAACTTTATTTTTTCTTCTCCCCTCTGATCCGTTGTTTTGTATAAAGGTTGTTTTTCTTCATCTTTCAGTTTAAGATGATTTTTCTGCAGAAAGAAAGGAATAAAATTTAAAGTCTATTTAAACGTGTTTGCTGGTAGATCTGCAGATTCTCTCAGCAAAGCTTTGATTTCCATAAAGTTGCAGCACGTGGCTCCCAGACCTCAGCCTACCTCAGGGATTGCTGCCTTCATCTTTTAAACAGCTTTCCTCTCTGCTGAAGAGCTTTTCATTTTTAAATCTACATTTTTTTCATTTTTGTTTTACAGGAAGTTTTTGCGGCTTTTCATCCGGATCAAAAGTTTGTGCAGAAGTTTCTGAAGCCTTTGCTGATTGGAGAGTTGGTGGCGACGGAGCCAGACCAGGATGGGAACAAAAATGTATGACCTCATTTCCAACTTCCTCACAATCCTTTAAGCATCACTGCTGGTTTATTTTCACTCCTAATTTTCCTTTGATACTTTTGCATCGCATGATGAGATTTTTAATAAAATCCACTGGATTCGTATCTTTAACTTACGTCTTGCTGTTGCATCATTCTGAACCAGATGCCATGATTATCTGCTTTTCCAGAGACAGAAAGTTTCCATGCATCACGTGTTTAATAAATCTTTGCAGCTTCTGTTCTTGAATTGAATCCAACCACCAGGAGTCCGTCGAACACATGATGGCTCTTAAGAGCAGGAGTCAGAAACCTTCATGCATCTGTTTCGCTTAGCTCCATAACGTTAAAGATTGCATCATTTCTATGATAAAAAAAACAACGTTGTTTTAAGGACCCAAATTAGTGATAGGTCCATTAACACTGATGCGTGGGTGCGTGGAGCCCATAGAAACAAACACTGTAACAGGATCATTTCCAGGAAGTCATGTGACCGATCCAGGAGCTGATTCTAACTCACTGACTCACTAAACTGGGTTTAAAACGTTTCTATCAACATGATGCATCTGCTGGAAAAATGTCCAATTTTTTGTGGTTTATCATTAAAATGATCCAGAATTTTGGAGCCTAGAAGGAATAGGATCCCTTCAGCTGTTCCATTTTCATCTTAGTTTTCTCATTGTTTTATCCATTTCCTCTCAACTTATCTG